ACAGGATACTCCGTCTCCTGCCTCCGGGGGTCTCGAGTGCAACTGGTGCCAGCCCGCCAACAAAGGAAGGAAGTTCCAATTTACAAAGAGGCGGAGTGTGGTTGACATCACTCTGCCTCCCTAACACAGTGCAGTACAGCTGAGCTACTGCACCGGCATGAAACTATGGAGGGAGTAAGGATTGCTTAAATCTTCTCCACCTCTTATGTTTTTTTTCCTCCTCTCTTTTTGTGGTTCCTTCTTTTTTTGCCCGTTTAAAAACCGTTTTTTTTTATAATGATGGGCCAGGAGTGTTTCCTCTCTGATTGCTCCAAGGGCAAGACGATGATGCCTTGGTTTATATTATTTTGACACAATAATATATGAACACTACTCTTTTTGGATATTCCTACTAGTTTAAAATGTCCATTTCAGGAGTCATTGGGTTGATTGATTTTACCTGTTTTTTTTTTTTGTATAATCTGTTTTTATTAAAGATTTTCAGATTTCAAAACAGAAGGTAAAGAAGCAATAAGGATAAAATATACTGAAACATATAAGGCAAATAGCAGTATTAGAAAAGGGTCCAACAATAAACCCAGTGTACAATAATGTAATACATGCATAAGTCGGGCACATGGTACATAACAGATAACATGCCACATACCCCCCACCCACCGTCTGGGCAGTGAGAAGCAGCACAAAACTTATCGCCCAGAGAACTGACTACCACACGGGAGATACGTCTTTGCACGAGGCTAGCCAATCTCAAGGCAAAAGGTCAAACATGCCCCTGTATATTCAAACATAGGATTATATAAATAACATATAGAGCACAAAGGGCATTTGCAGGAACTCTGCACTCATGTGCAATAAGACGGGACATATAAAAAACAAAACAACCAAAGAAAGGAAAAATAAGAGGAATGAGCAAAAAGAAAAAAGGGCCAGTAGAATAGAAATAGTAAGTGTAACACAGTATTGAGGGCGTAAAGCTCGGGACAGGACAGGAGGGGAACAACTCGGGGAGAAGAATCCTGGAGAGGCAAACCTCGCTGCCACTCACTCCGCCCACAGTAGGGCATCTACTCTGCTTCCATAGGTGTAGTACTAAGCTCTTAGCGGCATTCAAAAGATGTGGGGGTAACACTACGTATATAAATTTTGATTGAGGAAGGGGTGCCATGAAACAGATAGCGTAAGGGGGTAAAATCAATAGGCTGAAGGGTCATTCTTTGGATCCAGAGGGAAATATCCCTCCAAAACTTTTGAATCTTGGGGCATTGCCACCAAAGATGAAAGATGGTGCCTTCATTAGGGCATCCCCTCCAACATCTATTATCAGCACCAGGAAAAATGTTAGCTACCCGAAAAAGTGTCTTATACCACCAAGATAGAAACTTATAGCATGACTTTTGCAAAACTAATGGACGAGGCATGAGTCGTCTGAATAATTTTCCTCAACTGTGGGGGGTTCCAGGGTAAAAACCCAATTCAGCCTCCCATTCCCAAATATAGTAAGGAGTCAGCTGAGAAAAAGTGGACAGTAAACCTCTAGGGAGGGATAACAAGTGTCTGGAATCCCCCAGCTCTACACATGAAGTCTCAAAGGAAGTCAGGGAGTCCCAGGCTTGCACTCTGGGGAGCAACCTCTGAAAGAAATCATGAATCTGACGATAATGCCAAAAATCCATAGGGAACCAAACAGCTAAAAAATATCGGTGGGAGATGGATCGGAATCGTCGAGAGTAAATATTAAATTTTAGTCAAGATCATAATTTTAAGTGTTAATTTGGCCCAACCATACGAGAGCCGTGTCATCCAGGTCCCTTTCCACCCCCTGTAAGAGCACCCCGCAATTTTCTTAACCACTTGACCTCCAGAGGATTTACCCCCCTTAATGACCAGCCCTCTTTTTGCTACTCGGCGCGTCACTAATTCAACTGATAATTGCGTGGTCATGCAACGCTGCACCCAAACAAAATTTACGGCCTTTTTTTCACACAAATAGAGCTTTCTTTCGGTGGTATTTGATCACCTGTGCACTTTTTATTTTTCACGCTATAAACAAAAAAAGGCCAAAAATTTTTAAGAAAAACAATATTTTTTACTTTCAGCTATAAAAAATATATAGTAAACTCAAAGTTGGTTATACATTTAGGCCAAAATGTATTCTGCTACATGTTTTTGGTAGCAAAAATCCCAATAAGTGTATATTGATTGCTTTGTGTGAAAGTTATAGCGTCTACAAACTATGGTATAGATACTGCAATTTACGCCATTTTTTTGCTATACAGCGCTGCGCTAGTTTAACGGACAATTGCGCGGTCATGCAATACGGTACATAAATGAAATTCACATCCTTTTTTTTCCCACAAATTGAGCTTTCTTTCGGTGGTATTTGATCGCCTGTGCGGTTTTTATTTTTTGTGCTATAAAAAAAAGGCTGACAATTTTGAGGAAAAAAAACAATATTTTGGACTTTTTGCTATAAAACATGTCCAGTAAAAAAAAAAAATGTAAAAATCAAATTTAGTCATAAATGTCTGCCAAAATGCATTCTGCGACATGTCTTTGCTAAAAAAAAAAAAAAACAATACGTGTAAATTAATTGGTTTATGTGAAAGTTATAGCATTTACAAATGGCGGGAAAGATACTGGGATTTTTACTTTTTTTCATACTAATAATGGAGGCGATCAGCGACTTATGGCGGCGATCAGGGACTTATAGCGGTGATCAGCGACTTATGGCGGGACTGCGGCGGACATTCTGACATTGGGGGGTACTGACTTGGGGTCACTGACATCCCCAGTGACACCAATACATTGTCAGTGCAAAAAAAAAAAACACTGACACTGTACTAATGGCACTGGGGAGGAAGGGGTTAAGTTTATTTTTCAGGGAAGGGCTATCTGTGTGAGGGGGAGTGTTTTTACTAGGGGGCGGGGGTGTGTACTGCAGGGGACACCGCTGATCGGGGAGAGAGAAACTCTTCTGTCCCGATCAGCTTGTCCTGGAGCTGTCAGGGAACTGACAGAAAGCAAGCTACTGCAGCTGTGCTCTCTGTCAGCTATTGCCGCCGATCGCCGGGACATAGCCGGTAACGATCAGCTGTGACCCGGTCACTGACATCCGCTGCTGTGATCGGCGGGACAGGTAGGGTGGTGGCACGCCTCGCGCGCCCCCTACCTGTTTACAAAACACACGGTTTAAAACGTGGTTTTGCCTGCCCGTGCCGCTCTGCCGCCATATTTCTACAGTGGCTGGGCGGCATGTGGTTAATATAACAATTTAGGGTCCAAGCAAATCTCGGTACCCCGATACGGGTGGAGTCAACCACAGGTTTATTTCAAACAATCAGCTTATGCACATGAGATAAGGCCTGACGACCACACTTATTCCCATGCTCATAAAATTTATGTGCATAATACCTCATCTTATTTTTAGCCTGTCTCTCAAGGCAGTCCGACAGCTTGGCCCTAAGATCCGTCAATGCAGACAAATCCGAAGGGCTGAGTCTACTTTTATGAGTCTGTTCAAGTAAGTGAATATTTTGCACCAGAGTATCGATTTCTAAGCTCTTAGCTTCTTTGAGTCGGGAACTGTGAGCAATCATCTCACTTCTAATTACTGCTTTGTGGCCCTCCCACCACGCCCCCAGCAAAACCTCATCAGTGGAATTGAGTTGGAAGTAGCATCATCTAGCAAAAGTTTAATTTAATCATCAAATCCAAGCAGGTCTGCAGGGGGAGTGTAGAGTCAGAGTCAGCGAAACCGGAGCGTGGTCAGAAATAGTTACAGAGCCAATTTCCGTGGAGCCAATGTGGCCTAAATGGTTCATAACATGGTAGTGTTATGAACGTGGGAGAAATAGCTATAGTCCTTATCGGAAGGATGGGTCACCCTCCAGCTATCCACTAGGTGAAGATCCTGTAAGCACCTATGAAAATGTTTAAGAGCTTTAAAAGAGAAAGTCGACTTCCCAGATGAAGAGTCTAGAGAAGTGTCTGGGGGAAAGTTAAAGTCCCCACCCAACACAAGGAGGCCCTCCTTAAAAGTCAGTAGTTTCTTCAAAGTTTTAGAAAGAAAGTAAGTGGTCCGCGTGTTAGGAGCATACAAATTAGCAAATGTGTAAACCTCACCATGAATGGTACCTTTAAGGAACAAAAATCTACCTTCTGGGTCTACCAGCTGGTCAACAGGGACAAAATGACAAGACTTATGGACTGCAATCAACACTCTATGTGTTTTAGGGAGTAGGGACGGGCAGGAGAAGCATTGATTAAATACAGATTGAGGGAGCCTGGGTACGGAAGCCCCCATGAAGTGGGTCTCCTAGAGCAGCAACAAAGTCGGGCCTATGTGGTGTAATTCCTGCCAAAGCTTCCCCCGCTTAGAAGGGGAGCATAGACCACGGACATTATAGGAAACTACTGTCAATGTAGACGCCATTCAGACAGTCTTAAGGGGTGACCAAGATCCCCATTCCAGGAGGCCCAGTCCAGGGAACAGTGGAAAAAACCACCCCCCCCCCCCCCCCCGATCCCATTCCCCGAGAAACCTGTGTACGGAAAACAGACAGCAAACCAACAGAGAGGGCCACATATCAAGAAAAAAGGGGAAAACTGGATCCGGGCAGGGCCCAGTAGGGCCTCCACCCGGATCCCCTAAAAGAACTGTAATTCACAGTAATATCTCCCTGATTCTGAGACAATCCTACTTGGGGGTAGTGACTAGCCATGAGGGAGAAACGGACACCAACCCGGGGCCAAGCTGAAGAGTAAATAACTCAGAAGAGGGACTTTAACCGCCTCCCGCCTGCCATATAGTACAATGACGGGCACAAGGCTGTTCTCTCGTTCTGGGAGGATGTCATATGACATCCTCCCATTCTAACCACGCATGCGCGGTTCTGGGAGCACGCAGCGCGGCAATCGGCGGTGCGCTGTGTCCCTCAGACACAGTGGATCACAGATCAATGGAAAGAGCCGAAGATGTCGGCTCAGTCATGTGATCAGCTGTTTCCAATCACAGATGATCGCATGTAAATAGGGAAATGCCAGTTATCGTCATTTCTCTCCTCACGATCTGTCACGCTGACAGCTCGAGAGGAGAGGAGACCCGGTAATCGACATCCCTCAGAGGGGACATATACACTGATCATCAGGACACTGATGATCAGTGTGCCCTGATGATCTGTGTAGCCCCAGTAGTGCCACCTGTCAGTGTCCATCAGTGCCAGCTGTCAGTGCTCATCCATGTCACCTGCCAATGACCATCAGTGCCACATCAATGCCACATATCAGTGCCCATCTGAGCTGCCTTTGTGTCACCCCTCAATGTCAGTCAGTGCTGTCGGAAATGTGTGCATCAGAGATGGACGCAGTTCAACCATTTTGGCTTCAACCTCCATCTTGGAGGAGGAATTGACCCTCCTGATATGTTATTCCTTCATTCTCGTTCCCCGCTCTCTTCCTGAGAGGCACAGTGACAGATGTGTGTGTGTTAAAAGTGTCACAGGCCAGATCCCAGCAGGGAGCCACTGGTGCTGCACTTCTCAGAGAACATGTGTAATTTCACACCTCGTGAAAAGATAACAGAGCCTTCCCAGGAGTTGAAAGAGACTCTGGGCTAATAAACTTCACTCAGCATAGGTGACAGAATTAGATGAACACTTCTCCAATCATTTTTTCCCCTATGTTTCAGATCTTGGAATATGAGAGACTTACATTAAAACCAGACATCCCGTAAGATGGGCTAGGAGCAGGCGAACCGTTTGATGGGTCATTCGAATTATCTCGGACCATCAGGGGAGCCGAAACATAGAACTCGCGAACCGTGCCACATATAATTTCATAATTCATATCTAAATAATCCTCAGGATTATCTGCATAATAAAATACCCGCGGGTGGACTATAGCTTGTGCAGCTGGGAAGTTATGAAACCGGAATATGAATTATGAAAGATGTGGGCTCCAGTTTAGGGTTCCGCCCGATGATCCCTCCCTGCACAAGGGATTGGTTTGTTACTTCAGAACCACCCCCTGCTGGGAAGGTAGAATTGAAGACATCTCCCTTTTTTCCATCATAACAGAGGGAGATCAAAGCACCATTCTGCTCTAAAAAACTTGGATCTGCTTACATCAAAGGCTTACTGGCAAGTAACTTAACCCTTTAACTTCTCTCTGTTATCTCTTTGTGCTATGCTGTTTCCTGTATATATGTATATATATATATATATATATATATATATATATATATATATATATATATATATTAGTCACATCTTCTCTGTGAATATTTTTATTGCACCTGTTTGACCCTTTTAGTAATAAATCTCTCTTTCTGAAAGTGTAGAACTGTTTCTATAACTCTTAATTGCAATTTATGAATCCCTGCCATTAAAGAGATGCTACTGTTTGTTTAACTCTCTCTGTATAACCAGCCTGTGTCAATGGCGGATGATTATTTCAATTATTATAGTGTTATAGCGATATTGCAAGTTTCCTCTTTCTCTGATCAAAAAGGAGGTGGTGGCAGTGTGAAGGGGTTAATTGCGTAATTAACCTGACCCAGTAACAAGCGCATTCAGGCTGCCAGTACATAGATTGTGGTCCATTAGCTGGACAATCGTTGTGCAGGGTGCAGCTGGGTGTGGCATTGTTACGCACGTCACATCGCGGTTTTAGATCGGCCAGTTCTTCGGTCACGAGTTCGGTGAGAAGGTCTGGGGTCTGACACCACGATCGTGACATATTGGACGTCGTGATCGTTAGATTGTCTCATGTTGGTGGCGGCGATCTTGCAATCCGTGACAAGTGCCACCTATCAGTGCGGCCTATCAGTGCCACCTAACAGTGCCAGTCAGTGCCACCTAACAGTGCCAGTCAGTGCCACCTAACAGTGCCGCCTTTCAGTGCCCATCAATGATGTCTGTCAATTCCCATCAGTGCCACCTACCAGTGCCTCCTCATCAGTGCCCATCAGTTGCACCTATCAGCGTCCATCAGTGCAGCCTATCTGTGCCCATCAGTGCAGCCTCATTAGCGCACATCAGTGAAGGAGACAAAATCAGTTATTTACAAAGTTTTATAACAAAAACTAAGAAAAAACTTTTTTTTTTCAAAATTTTTAGTGGTTTTTGGATTGTTTAAGAAAAAATAAACCCAGAGGCGATTAAATACCACCCCAAAATAAAGCTCTATCTGTCACAAAAAAATGATAAAAAATTTCATATGAGTACAATGTTGCATGACCGTGCAATTGTCAAAGTGCAACAGCGCTGAAAGAACGCGTTGGATGGAGCCCTATTGCTGACCTCTAGCCGACGCTACTGATGAGCAGCGGCCATTTTGGTACTTTATTCATTTATTTATTTTATTACTCCACATGGATACGCTTTTATGTTACTTGCTATTATTACCTTAAATAAAATACTACACTATAAGCACCTTTCTGGCTCCTGTGGCTGAGCTAATTCCCCCCAGGACCACCAGGCACCCATCCTGACGGATGACCTCGTAGCTGTCAGCATACCGCTGCACCCCCAGATGTGCGATGTATTATAATCAATGCGCATTATAATTTATGGTCTGGTGAGTGTACAAAGTACCAAGGGTGGATTTCCTTTTACAAGCTTTTGCACAGTTCTCTTCACGGATAACTTCACATGCCAATCATAGGCTGATATCTTTGCACAAGAGACGTTTTAAATTCACAAATGCTCTGATGAACTTATTTTATGTCATCTTGAACTAGTTATATTAATATTGCACTTTCAGCACTTTACTCACATATGCATTTAAGTCACATGCATTTATGGAATGTATGACCTGCATTTTTTAGCACTGCACTAATATTTTAGAAATTCTGATTCTGGGACTGTTACTTATACCCTGAGTGCTAGCTGGTTTTAATACATTTGAAAATATATAATTTTAATATCATATACTGCATTTAGCGCTCGCTCTATTATCTTTTCTACATACTCCCAGAATCAGACTGAAAATCCTTTGGAGTGTGGACACCAAATGTTGCGCACGAGTTGCCTCAGGCAAACCACGGAAACGTATATTTTGGCGTCTTTCCCAGTTTTCATCGTCATCTAGCTGTGTCAATAAAGAATCAAGCGTACGTTCATGCATACGGGAGGCCTCTCCGAGTTTTGTAACTGAATGAGTTAAAGTTTCAGGAGCGGTTTCTACAGCTTTCACCCTGTGGTCTACAGCAGTGACATCGGCCCGCACTGTGTCTATGGCCTCCTTGAATGAGGATTCAACAGCAGTAATTAACTGAATCATGTCAGCTTTAGCAAGGAGGGCCCTAATGAGCTCTCTGATATCCCAGTCTCCAAGAATGTCATCCAGGACTGAACCCGCGGTTGAGGGCAATGTGGAAGCATGAGAGGTAGTAGGGCTGTTGCTACATACCTGGCCCGAGCCTGTGGTATCCCCTTGATCATGGGTAACAGCAGGAGAGGCCGTGAGTGTCGGGCGGTCTGGCGCCATATCCTGGATTCCTTGTGGCGTGATCCTAGGGACCTGAAAAAATAAGAATCAAGTGCTCCAGAGAGGGTCTGTGGGCGTCGAGTGGGGGAAGAACATACCCGTTTGCCTCTGTGTATAGTGCGGGATCCGCCTAGGCCCTGTGAAGCTTCGTTTAGCCCCGAGCAAGCAGGATCTCTCAGGCTGCACATCCTCTCTCCTCCGTAGCCAAGCCACGCCCCTATCCATAGCCAGACCACGCCCCCCCCCCAATTGGTTTTACCTGTTGATGTAGGATCAAAGGGAGTGCGTGTTCCTGGAGCTTTCAGTAATGAATAAGCACTGAAGGAGTGTGAAATGCATCTACTGATGTACCCAGAGCCATGTATTGCTGTCTTTTTATCTTCATGGATTGAAAAATAAAGAAGTTTGCTGCTTGTACATTGGAGCGCCACTACTACTACCTTTCTTCATGTTCACTGACTGGTTGTGGACAGAGCAGTCATACAGACACATCCAGCAGCATGGGATTTCTGGCAGGTCAGCCTTGGGCGGTGTGTACCCTGCATGCTGTTTCCTAAGACTGGGGGAGTAGCGATCTGTTTTTCAAAGCAGGTCTCCTTTTTATTGAAAAAGAAGGTTGGTGACCCAGAAAGCCACTATTTTTTACTAGTGGGCCACCTGTAGAGTCTCTCTCCCTGCCTCATGGAGACTAAATGATTTTTGAGCAACCCCCTTAGTTTATTTTGACATAGAAAAATGCCTTAAGGAGCTTATTTCATTCAGAATAATTGTATGGATACCTCTCCAGTGACTAACTGGGTGGTTCGTAAGGCTACTATCCAGGGCTAACTTATTCATATAGCAGCGTGTCTGAAAAAAAGTCAGTGTCAGGGATGCAGGCAACAAGCTAGGATGATCAGATTAGTTGGCTGTACCTTAAGGAATCAGGAACCAAACTGGAAAAGGTTAAAATATTTTCATTGAGACAAAGGACACACTTCCAACACCAATAAACCATAAACAATGCAAGTGACAAAATAAATGTGATGGTGCAAAACCCTAAATAACAACCTAACTATATACAAAATGGAGGGAGCACACATGGCGGGACAAGGTCAGTACAGAGACAAGAAATAAGGGGAGCAGGGAGCAAGGTACTGTGAGGATTCCTCCTCCCAATACCTTGCTCCCTGCACCCCTTGTCTCCTGTCCCTGTTCTGATCTTGTCCTGCCATATGTACTCCCTCCATTTTGTATATGTGGCGGGATACAGGGAGCAGGTCTTAAGGTCAGGTACAAGGGTCAGGAACAAGGCTCAGGCAGGAACACGGCTTGCAGGAAAAATACTGAAGCAGTGAACCACAGTTATGGGCAGGCTTATAAAGTATACCTCCCAGCCAGGGCCATCTTTAAGGGCAAAAGGGGCAGTTGCCCCTGGCCCAATTACTATTGTGGGGCCCAAAGCAGATGCTCCTTGAGCCCATGCTGCTCAAGTTTACCAACTATTTAGTACTGGCAGCCTTTTCCATCAAAAGACATTGACAGCGCTGGGCAGGTGCCGGCTCTAGAAGGAGCACTGGGCCACATTTGCCAATACTACTCTTCTAGTCCTGGCTGCAGCCCGTCACAGAGTATGGTTTGTTCTTGATGCAATTATCCTTTATTGTGTGTTTTTCTATTGTTGATGATTACAATACCGAATGTAATGATAATTGCAGATGTAAGTCTTATGCAGGCCATAGATGGGTCGAAAATCGGCCGATTTGTCGGCCGAAAATAAAATCGGCCGATTTTCGGATCGTTAGTGGGCGATTTGGTCGGCCGATTTTCGCGCGGCATTAATGGGCTAATCGGCCGATTTTTTACCAATAAAAAATCTGCGCATGAGCAGTGACCTGCAAGAGGAAGACA